GTTCATGTGCGTGAATGGTAAAAAACGCCTCAACAGAGGGCGGACTAACAGGAACTTGGAAAAGTCATTACAGGAGGCACTGATGTCAGGTGTCTAGAGTTTAGGCTGTACTAAAACCTTTCCTTTGTTGTCGTGAGATCCAATCCCACCGAGACGCCGATGTCCTCACGCTTAGGTCAAAACAATAAAGCAATATCTTCACTCTAATCCTACTCAGTAGACTGAATACGCATTCGATAAAGCGATTTCTTCCAGAAAAGCCGTGCAGACTCCAAAACCACCGCAGAATGTCGAAATAACCTTTGCACGGCCCGAGAACTGCAGGGAAGGAAATAGGTAGTCAGGATCAACATCTATACCAAATTCAACCGCTTTCGACGGAGTGAATCACAATGGCCTCTAGAAAATCTTGGAGCTATTCGGATGTCCCAGGGGATTCGTTCAAGTGGTTAGGCAACTTGAGACACGTTTGATGCTTTGCGTAGCGGACAACGAAGAAATCTGCAAGACATTCGAGTTGACCAATGGGATGAAGCAGGGCTGCGAGCTTTCTCAGTCCCATGTTCTCCGCAATGCTAATGAACGTTTATCGTGAGAACGAACCTCGCCCTACCCGCCACATACACACATCCCTACACTACATATGAACCCTCTCCAGACCACGCCCTCCGGTCCATAACAATCATGCTCCTCTTCGGTAACAAGCGTGCAACTTTCATCGCCATTGTTGTTACTTCTGACGTAACGTCCCCAGTCAGATCATGCCCATCTAATGTAGGGGAGAAACATGTACTTGGTATAGACGGGCTGTCTGTCTGTCTGGCCTGGCAACCACTACACCATGTCGCGTCATCAGTCGACCGATAGGTCTGGACAGTCAATCAATACAGGAAAGCGAGAAGGGGGAGGTAGGTCGACTCGTTCAGTGCATATCCCTCAAGATAAACAATTTGACGCCTTTGAGACTAGCACTGTGCGCTGAAGGTCGTGGTTCGAAAAGTTGTCCATTGACGATTTTACTTGCGAAAATTCCCATTGTAAAATTCAAAAGGCAATTTGGCGAGCATATAAATGTACAGGCCTGAAGAGAATTTATCGAAAGCAAACGTATGCTCGCCAAATTGCCTTTTGGATTTTACTTGCGCTTCGCAGTCAGTCCAGTGTGTGTTTGTATGGAGTGACCGACTGGTAGGCTGGGCGTCAGGGCGCAATGGATGCTTCTTAACGTGGCTTTTATGGAACACTCATTTTGTTCAGATTTTAACAGTCTCCACGTGCCTGAAATCGTGGTCGTTGTTGGGTAGATCAGGTGGTGTGGCTGCACACCTGGGCGCGGACACATGCCGCGCCAGTCACACACGCCCTATCCTTCCACGGGCCCTCTTGAATCTGTCATGAAAGCAGAGCTAGGTGGGTGAGGAGGAGAGAGTGCAGTTGTGCAGCCTACGTCAACTATCACGTTATACGAACTCACGCGGAGGTCACCGTCCCTGCGCCCATCCTTCTGTGCACCACACAGCGGACACCGACGCAACGATAGTCGAAATGTCGTGTGTGCGTGAATGAGTATGTGTAGGGTGATCGTGGTGCACCGAGCACACTGATTGTAGCACACTGATTACACTCTTTCTCCACTTACACGCTACAAACATTTGAAGAAACCAACGGGAGAAGCAGGCCTACGTCCTCGTTTCCACCCTCTTCATACTCGCGTTCTATGCCATGCATAATGGACGCCAACCTGATCGGCGCCCTCATATTCGCATTGTCTACAACACTGGTGGCCATCTTCTCAATAGACGGTGCATGCAGGTCTCAACGCATCACTCCACGACTAATGCCCACAACCTTCTCTTCGGGGACGACTTCGCGCTCAACACCGCGACAGAAGCAGATATGCAACGAAGCATGGACTTCGTCGCCGCCGGCTGCGCCAACTTCTAGCTGGTCATCCACACGGGCATAACGGTGGTCATGTATCCATCATCACCCAACACTGCATAAAACGGACCTCGTATCATCGACAACGGCACCCAAATGAAGGTCGTGCATAATTTCGTCTATTTGTGTAGCACACTTTCACATGACAATAAAGTAGACTATGTGGTTCAACGGGTATCCAAAGCCAGCAAGGCCTTTTGCCGCGAAAATCTGCGGCAAATCGCCACAGACTAGACTACACTACCACACAAACTCCCACCAACACGTGCACCACACATGAACACGTCCAGTACCACACACCGGAGGCATTACGTAGGCGCCTTCCAAGCAAGTAGGAAGTCCGTTATTTGACTTCTTCTCCATGTCGCACATTTGCTGCATGTGAGATCCGGGCCGCCTACCCCCTTTTGTGTAAAAGACTGGTATGGACTTGGTGGGAATCAGGTTGTGTGTGACATGCGCAGAAGGGCTGTTCCTTACTCGGTCAGCCACCTCTTACAACCTAAGCGTCAGTTGGTTCACCGGTTCGGACAGAAGACCTTTTCACGAGGGAGGGAAGCGTGAGAGTGAGAGGGAGAGAGAGGAAGAGAGAGATCGACTCTCAACGCATTCTCCACTATATAAACAAATTGACGCGCTCGATACCTCCACGAAACGCTAAAAGCCATTGTTTGGATGGTTCCCAATTGGCAAGATAACTGGGGTCTTGCAGTTGGCCTAGTGTGTATTTGTGTGAAGTGGTTGTCCGGTAGATGAAGAGTCAGGCTTAAATGGTCCTTTTGTAATGGGGTCTTTGTAGTAATACCACTTATGTACCGTTGAGATTATAAGTGCGATTATATAAAACCAGCGGGGTGAAAGGGTGTCAGCGGTGGGTTCACGTAATGGTCGTGGTGGTCGCTC